GGTACCGCCACCCTCCCTGTATCAGTCTCAGTCCCGCTGTTCACCAACCACACCTGCACACAGCCGGGCCGTAATGCTCCCCGCTGTTGACCTAACCAGCACCCGACATTCGGCGCCCTCTCAAAGTAAACAGACTAGCCCGTCCACTAAAACTGAGCCGACACGCACGAGCCCGGCCCGCCCATTGAGTCCGGCTCGCGCCTAATGCGCCGGGCGGTCGTGGTGCGTGCCGTCACCACTTTGTCGGCGCTAGCGGGCTGCCTGTTGACCGAGGCCGCTGCCGACTGAGCACCACTTCATTAGACGCCGGCAGCCACTAATGACCGGCCCTAAATCAGCCGGCCACTGTCCACCATTGTGGCGCACTTGACGGTAATCACACGGCCGGCTGCCCTGTTTACTCGGCCGCAGTTAATAGCCGCAGCGCGTCCGAGCCGGGTGATTTAGCGCTAGATACGTCGGTGGCGGCAAACACGGCCACACGGCGACAAAAGCGCCACGCGCGCGCCACTGAATGCCGCGCCGCGCCATCGACCTGCAGTGGTGGCGCGGCGGAGACGGCGGCGCGCGACCTCCGGTAATCGCGCTAATGTCGGTCGGCGTCACCGCGCGGCGATTAGCGCGTACGGACGGCAACTGGACGGCGGCGCCGGCAAATACCGTAAATTGGCCGAGTCAGTCGGCCACAGCGGAGCGCGCCGGCTTCAATGGCTCCGGGGCGTCTGCAGTGACCCGCCCGCGGTCTGGGGCAGGGTGCGGCGCGGGACAGACAGCGGCGGCAGGTGCAGCGGGCGGCCCGGCCAGCCGTGTGACCTACGAGCACAGGACACGGCAGCCGGCGCCGCCCGCCGCCCCCGACAAACCCATGGGCCAGCGCATAATTTTCCCATAATTTGGGACGGCGATATGATAACGACCGAACATGGGCATTGACAGACGAGACATTATTCAAATGAAAGCAGAACGGCGCCCGGGGGCATCAAAACAGCTTGCGGTTTACCAATATAGCTGATTACTAGAAAATTGTTTCAAAAATGAGAACGTTGATGATAATATATGGCACGTAATACTACCTTGTACACCCACATCACGAAGCAAGGAAGTTTCCATTACCTACTAATGCGCCATGAGCGCGATCTATCTGATTACTTTTGCAGCATGCCCTTATATTCTTTCGCAATAGCGATGCTAATTGCCACCTTTGCACGCAACCACAAACACTTTAAATTAATTATTTAATCGTCAGCAGTTTATGAATCTTGCTAGCCTCGTAAAATCAACTCAAAGATGCATGAGATACGAAATTGACTTAGACGGAACTTTGCAGCAAAATCGTGTTCTCTCATTTAGGGCCTAAAGACATGCTTTGTCGTGATTCAAACCAAATTGAAATAAAATGCGGAACTCAATGCGAATAGGTGGCTACATATGTTGCAGTGATCTGGAATGATTGACCAATTAAATCTGAGGCATCCCACAACGTAGACAGTGCTTCACGTGCAAAGAAAGAAAATCATCGGATGTCGTGTAACCGATTTGCTATTTGTTGAACGTCCAGACGTTTAAAGGGACTATAATATCCCACCTTATAAAATGTTGTTTAAACTAGTTAAATTGTGCCCGACTTTATAGATTGGATGACCAGGAACACGGTTCTGGCATTTATTTTTCATTAAACATCTTAGGCTTCCCATATTCCAAACACAAACTTTCAAATATGTGACGTCACAGCCCAAAATTACCTCCTTCCCCAGGCCACATTACTGTCATAAAGCTGATTCTTTTTACTCTGTAGGCACCACAACAAAGTTCAGACAAAGTTTTAAGCGATTTTTCAACGAACAAACCCATTTAAATCAGAATGACTAAACGAGGTGACGTCACACTAACGGTCGCCCCATGTTGAAGATAGGGCCTTGTACAAGGCCCATTTTCAAATGAAGGGAACGAATTTCTTCAACACCAAGAGGCCGCGGGGGTTGCAACCTAGATAGATAGTGGTTTCTGAACCTCGCCGCAAACTTGGCTATCTCAACTCAAACCCCATGTTAAAGGTGGGATAGTCCCTTTAATGCCGGGTTCACACCGGATTCCGGACCGGCAAAATTCCGTCTGCCGGGCCGGAAAAATGGCCAATTCCGTGCCGGAAAATTGAAAACTGGTGTGAACCGGCAAATCTGGCAACTTCTTTTGACCAGTCCGGCAGGCCGGAGAGCCAGATTTTCCGGTCCGGCAAAAAGTTGAAATCATCTCAACTTTTGCCTTGCCGGATAGCCACCGTTTGTGATATGAAATTAAGGCACGAGGGAAATAATGCTATGTTTCAGCGCTACAGGACCAATTTAACCAACGGCGCCCTAATAGTCTCGCGATTTTTCACGAGAATATAAAATTCAAGCGTAAATTTGACGGCGTTTCATTTTTATTTCAAAATATTTGCATCTCAAACGGAGTGATAGCTACATTTCTGTTTTTGCATTTCACATGACTCATGGCCTTTTCAAATTATAAATTAATTTCATTGGTTGGAAAATATCCATGACTTTATAATAAAAAAGATAAATATTATAAGGAAGCGGTGAAAAGGGCGAATTTGTGGAACAACATTGCGGACGCGCTGGTTGTAGAAGGAGCGGAGCCAGTATCTGCATCTATATAGGGCCTTGGTATCTGCAGAAGAGATTATCAAGCGCTGGAGCCGGCCGCAGGACAGGTAGCACAATGTACGTATACTTCCGTCGTCTACGAAGTGGAGCCAGCCGAGCAGATTCTGAAATCTACATTCTACAAGACGCGCTGACAACACTTCTCTGCCCTCGATGCCCTCCTACACAAGCACATAGCAGCTCGGGAGGGTGGAGGCAGTTTTGCCATTCAGTCGCAAGTAGAAGATTCAGGAAACACGATGTTACTGAATGCCAAGGATATTATCCCGCGCCCTGCTGGGGGTGGGGGTGGGGGGGATATTTGAACCCTCCCTGTGGTTTTTCGCGAACATCTCAAAAACGGCGGCTGTTTTTGGCACACCTTATCATGCATCTTTTCTGCACAAGTTTCAACGTCTTCCATATGCTACATCGAGCGACCGACCTCTTTGAAACTCTCAGCGATTGATAAGGGCAACAATATGTACACAATTTAAATAAATAACTATCTCGGAATTTTGATATCGGTGACCTAAGGTCAGGTCAATTTTGTGACCCCCCCCCCATTATAAGTCAATGGGAGAAAATTGATGCCAAGTTATGCGTTGGCTTGTTGTAAATCGTCGACATTCGACCTGAAAATCGGTGAAATTCGGCTTTCCATTACCTCTGGTGACCTGACCTTTGATTTGACCAAAAAAAGTGACCGAATTTATTTCCTCATTAATTTTGACACTCTTTCGAACGCCGCCTTCCCCGTATCGCTACGTGGCCCAGGAGCCGAGTTAAAAGGGGGGATGTTAAACACCCCCACCAGCAAGGCGTGGAAATTTAGGACCCCCAGCGGGGCGCGGGTTATGGCAGTAGAGTTCAGTGACAGTCAGATGACCGATTTTGAGACCCAGCCATCTACATCAGCAAGCGTAATATCAAGCTCGCCGTCTCTAATGCGCCCTGCCCATGGCTCTCAATTCCTCTTTGTTCGCAAGTGTTTTTAAACCAACAACAGCCAAAGCGCGATTGAAATTTATTAGTGTCTTTTTGTCGATACCCAGCCCGCATGCTGTAAATGTTAAATTGTATTAATCTTGCTAATATACCTACCAGTGAAGTATGGATGATTTTCGGTTGGGTGGAACTGCATCAGGGACTTGTAAAGCCGTCACAAAAGTATGTTCGCAAGTAGGTAGAACAAACTGTTTAAACGTCGAGCTGATAGGCGAGACGTTTAAAAACATTTCTAACTACGATCGGTTAAATAATTCTATCCCGTACCGCCGATATGTTTCAGGTGCTTAAACGTAAAAAATACATTTTGTATAAAAAATACGACATAATTCAGACTAGACAAAATGTCTACTAGACGTTAAACAGTTTGTTAATCTTCTAGACGTTTAACAAATCAGTTAAATATCTGACAATTTTCTCTCTCATCACGTGAAGCAATCGTAAACACTGTCTTCGGTGCAGGATAATATATCTTAAACCGCGAGTTTCTATCTACGAACGGTTTAATAATTTTATCCCGTACCGCCGACATGTTTCGGGCGCTTAATGGTAAAAAATACATTTATATAAAATATACGACATCACTCACGACTATATGAAATGTCTACTAGACGTTTAACAGTTTGTTAATTGTCTAGACGTTTAACAAAGCAGTTAAACCACATCTGATAATTTTCTTTCTTTGCACGTGAAGCAATTGTAAACACTGTCTACGGTGCGGGATAATTAATATTTATATTGCCCGTCCGTCGGCCAGGACGCCAGTTATAATCACCTAAGCAGCATAGCGGCTCCACATAGCAGATGCCCAGCACACTAATGAACAAGTAACAACCTTCAATTAACTTAGCATCACCCTACGCCTGATACATGGGCTGCAAAGCCCGTTTCCCGGTTCACATTCGCTCCACAATCCACGTAGAAGGGGGCCCCTTCTGTGTGGATTGTGGAGCGAGTGCAGAGACGGTTGAGACGGTTTGTAATCCTTTAGCGAAAAGGGCTAATACATATTGCACGTTTAAATAGCCGGGTCTGCCTTCTGGTTTGATTGCTGAATTACTGAAGGTCCATCGGTCTATGTAGACGGTCAGACCATTTAAGGGCCGGTGGATATTACTCTAGTAAATACTGCCAGAAAATAGGAAATGTTCCACAATCCTAAAAATGAATATTCAATAAGCATCGAGGTACTGAAAACAATAAAATTCGTTGGACATTTGTACTTGTAGCTATATCATACACTCTAAGACACGGATACGAACAAATGTTTCCCCTTCCCGGGATGAGGGGACGATGTATCCTCAAGCATTACCTTGCCCCATAACTGGCCCATTGAAACACTAAAAATTGGTTTAAATCTCGCTCATTTATTTTAACTTGTACTAATACTGTCAGTAAATACAAACAGTAGGCATATACGACCAACAAGAACAATCCGAGTTCACAGTCTTCGCACTACATCGCATGCATCTTCGTAATATAACTGTGTCGTAGTCTGAACAATTTAAATCGTAAGGCACATCCAGTGATAGCGACACCAACGATGCGGATGAAAACATCAGCCATATTGTCTGTCATCACAACGCACAACAATTTGATCATTTCAAATGTTTCGCAATTCAACTGAATGCTATGAAAATAGATTACCAGTAAAACGCCTTTTGGGCGAAGAACGAGCGAGCGAGATAGTGAGCCCTGCACGTGCGGAAGGGCGAGAGGGTGCTTCCAACGGGCTTGCGCAAAGCACTCTTCTAACTGGTCGCTAGCGGTGTGCCAAATTTGAACGCAATCGGCCCAGCCGTTCCTGAGATCTGGAAGCGGCATTCTGCACGTGCGCACGTGCAAACGGGGTCCAAAATGACTTTTGCTTGGCACCCTACTAACTGGTCCCCAACCGTGTACCAAATTTGAGCGCAGTCGGCCCAGCCGTTCTCGAGATCTGGAAACGCCCCTTGCACGTGCGCACGTGCAGTAGCACCCTAACCGCAACACATGGGAATGCATTGCCTGGTGGGTGCCTATCTGTATGCCAAGTTTCAGCGAAATCGCCCCAGTAATTACCGAGTTACTGAAATGGGAACAAATTTGGCCCCTCTTATTGTTGTATTTTGCACGTGCAGTGGGGGTGACCCACATGCATCGAGAGTATCCTATTTTGGGTAGAAGGGATGCTGCTACCCTATAAAGATTACCGCAAGTCAATCGCCCAAGCGGCTGCTGAGATATGAGCCTCTCAAAATCACTACTTTTGCAAAACAGCTTGAACACCCTTGACTTTTCACGTGGCACGTGCCACGACGGTCACTGAGATGCATCAAAAGTAGTCAATTACGGGGTAGAAGGGATAGGGCTACCCAACAAAAAAGACCGCAGGCCAATCGGTCCAGCGGTTGCTGAGATATAAGCCTCTCAAAAGCGTTACAGGCCGGGCCGGGCCGGGCCGGGCCGGGCCGGGCCGGGCCGGGCCGCCCATACTGAGATTTTTCCGTTATATTGAAAAGACTCACTTCGCTCGCTGCGCTCGCTCGCTCGTAATCAACGTCGTTAACAAGGCATATCTATCTGAACAACAATAAGCACGCTCACTCTGAGTATTTTGATCTTACGGTAATAAGCTGAGATACAGAACGTACGAACTATTATCACCCGTTATAAGCGGAAGCTAGGCAAACCGTCAAACGGCAGAACGTCGGCAGCCGACCGTCTTCGGCCGCATACCGGCGTTCCAAACAGCCAACACTCCGAGCAGACACGAAAGCACTGATAACTTCACAGCAGTTAGGCGAACCACGAATACTATGATGGCATCGGCCCCAACTGGGGACCTGGCCACAGAAGGACCGTGCTGAGCATTACACTCTCCTGAACAGCACCTTCCTCTCTGCGCGGCGGACTGGCACCGAGCCCTGACTCACCGGCCGTTCCCACGGCCACAATACGCCGGCTCGCTCACGCTGTAGCACGACGTGGGCCAGAGCTCAGGACGGGTTTCTCAGTCGTCACCGTCCGAGTCGGGATCCCCGAAGGTCTCCTCGTCGGGGCGCTGCTGGCGGCGGCGCAGCGCCAGCGCGGCCGCCTGCGCAGCCATGTCGGCCGGGAAGCCCTGGCGAGGCGGCAGGCCGAGCGCCGCCGCCCGGTACCGGGCAGAGCCGGCCGGCGGAGGGGCGGCGGCGACCTCCGCACTCGCCGCCGGAGAGCCAGCGCCGCTGGGATCCGACGCCGAGGCGTCCGAGTCGGCCCGGAGCGGCGAGAAGCCCTCGGAGCCGGCCGAGTCGCCCGTCTGGTTGGCCGGGGCGCCGGGCTCCCCGCGCGGAGTGCTGGCCATGGAGCCGGGCCGAGAGGGCGGCCGGCGGGACGGCGGCCGGGCGCGCCGCTGCACGGGCAGCAGGTGCGTCAGGTCACCGGCAGGCGGCAGCACCAGCGCCGTGCCCGGCTCGGCCTCACCGTCCGAGTCGCTGAACCTGTACAGGTCACGGCGGTCCACGCGGTACCCGTCGGGAACGTCCGGTGGCGGCGCGCGACTTCCGACCTTTCCCGGCCGCTGCCACGGCTCCACCGCGTCCCCTTCTTCCTCCGAGCCGCTGAAGTCGTACAGGTCGGTCGGGTCCACTTTATACGGGTCCCCCTCTGGTGCCGTCGCGGAGGGCTGTCCTGTAGCTGGTGGAGGCGGGGGTGGGGGCACCGGCTCGCCCTTTGCCAGTGCCTCGCGGACGCGCCACTCCTGCCGTTTGCCGGTGAGCGCCACGTTCAGTTCGCTGAGCAGCTCGCGGGCCCTGTCACGTTCCAGCCGGCGCCTCAGCCGCTCCTCGCGGGACAGCAGCACGTCCTCGCTGTCCGCACCCTCCCGCGGGCCGCCCTCCACCACGGCCTCAAAGAACTGATCCACCAGCTCAGGCTCGGGCAGGTCACTGAGCAGCGGCACCGGTGCGGCGGCGGGCGCCGGGACGGTCGGCGGGGCGTCGGCCGGCGCCGGCTGCTCGGAATCCCCGACCTCCAGTCGGCTCAGCTGCAACAGCGTCTGTTCACAGAACAGCTGGCCCGAGTCCAATCGGCGCTGGATCTCCGTCAGCTCGCGGCGCAGTCTGGCGTACAGCTCGGCTCGCGGCTCAGCACTCTGCTCGTCGTCGTCCTGCGCCTCGGAGAGTGCCTCCTCGAGGGCGCGGGCCCGCAGCGCCACCACCTGAGCCTGCAGACAGATGCTGTGGACGCCCACGTAGAGCCGCTGGGGGCCGGCGGCCGGCCGGGCGGCGGACGGCGCCGGCTCCGGCTCGGCGGCCCACAGCGCCGCGTGCGCGCGGTATGCGGCGCTCAGGCGGCGCTGCAGCTCGGCCAGGCAGGCGGTCAGCTCGTCCAGCAGCGTCAGTGGCACCGGCGCCGGCCGGTCGGCGTCCGGCGGCAGCAGCTCGCCGCTCAGACCCAGGCAGCAGCGGCGCACAAACTCAGACTGACTCTCGGCGAGCAGCTGGTGCAGGCTCTGTCCAGGAGTACAGCAGCAGCATCAGCACAGTCTGCAGCACTACCACCGCTAAACATCATACGCTAGATCGCTGTTGCCAGTAAAAACAACGAAAACATTTACCGTGTGAGTGCGCCCAAATACCACTTGAAATAAATGCCTATCCCGTACCTTGACATCTTTGACGGTGAAGCTCGTCTCGTCGAAGCCTGCCAGGGCCGACTGGTCACAGGCGATGTAGTGCCGGTCCGGGTCGACTCCGTCCAGCAGCGGCTGCTGCAGGCGCAGGCGGCGGGTAGCCCGGCCGTAGGCGGCGCAGGCGGCGTGCAGGCACGCGCCGGCCGCCTGCACCAGGTCGCCGTACTGCGCCGCGAACGCCGCCTCTGCGCCGGCGTCGCCGCTGGACCTGTGGCGTCCGAGGGGGTGAGAATGCCGCCGGCTGCCGGGGCGCGGCATTCAAATGGTAACCGGCCGGCTGCGGCGGCCGCCGGCCCTGTGTAATCCGCCGCGCCGAACATGGCCGCGCACAAAGCGGGCGCGCCGCGGCCGTGGCGCCGGCGGCACTTGAGCGTCAGTCCGGGGCGACTCACAATGCCGGGAGGCCGGGCGCTGTTCAAACAGGGCGGGTACCGCACGGCCGCGGCGGACAGACGGAGCCGCCGCAGTCGATACAGCAGCGGCACTAATGAGCGCCCCGGAGACCGGCGGTGACTGTCCCATACACCACACCACCCGTGCGGGGTACTGATGACAGCTCCTGCAGTGCGCTCACACTGTGAGCATCATGTCTCCCATAGCCGCCCTGTCCACACCGCTCCCATTCAAGGCCCAAAGGTTTCACCGACAGCCGACCGATCAAGGCTGAGGTCTGGCCGACGACTCCGACAGCGAAGAAAGCCATGGCCTTGCGGCTCGCCCGATTGAGACGCCTGGGCCGATGGCGGTGATAGGATAGAGCGCGAGCCGTCAGACACATTACGGGGCGCGGTAAAATGAGCCGCTCCCAGCCACCGATGCGCCTTTTATGCGCCATTCCAGGGCAGTCAGTCGGAAAATGTTCATGGAGTCGAATGGAGCACGCAAGATAGAAATAATGTTCTATATAGTCGTGGGACGATGATCAGTAACAAAAGGACAGAAAACGCGCATATTGAGAAAAAATCAATCAAATAATAGATAACGGTGGCCTAAGTTACAACATTATGTTAATAAAACTATAAAACAGGTAACAGGGCCAAAGACAACGTAAAAAATCTAGAAATGGAAACGTGCAGACCAAGCTGCGTTGGCATACGGAGAAAGAAACTTCCCTGCCGGACAGGTAGGTAACATTAACATAGACGTCAGTTTTGTCGACTTGCTTACTTAATCAAATCACCAACATTATAATGTAGATTGCGAGCAGTTGTGACCAAAATGTCACTGCCATTGAAGTAGTTCTACATTATACTTAGGAAAAAAGAGGAGAAAGAGCGATAATTGCACTGCTGTTCAAACGCCGTTGTGAAGGAAGGAAGCCGACATAACGGGACTGCCAACGGAACCCGGACGGCGGACTAACACCAATATATCTCGCCGGGGCGATGAGCGACCGACTGCCGACTGCCGAGGCCGCTCCTCCCCTGCTCCACCACCTCGGCTCCCATCTGACGGCAGCCGGCGTCCCGCGGCGCCCGCGGCGGCCCAGCCTGCGCCGCCAGCGGCCGCACCACTCAGCCGACACCGGCCCGGCCCAGTGCATCCTTTACGGGCCCCGACCGCCGCCAAAAGCCGAACAATGCCGGCGGCCCGTCGCCGGCGGCGGCAGCGTGCCGCCACAATGGCGCTGCACTGATCAATGATGAGCTCCGAGCCGGTCGGCCGGCCGGCCCGGATCGCCGCCCGGCAGCCACACTGCCGCCGCCGAGCGCATCGACGGACGGCCGTCGACAGGTACACACGCGGTAAAAGGTCGATAGAAGCCGCCCGAACGGGGCAACCGCCGACAAATGAGAGCGATCGCCAGTGACGGACGGCCGTCACACACGGCGCTGTCAATTACCGATACCGGGTGCACGGGTGACGCATATCTGTCGGCGCCGGCGGCCGGCGTACCGTCAGGGTCGCCGGGCGACGCGGAAGGTCAGCGCCGTGAGTCACCGACCTGCCGCAGCCCGCAACCCTACCTCGTACCCTGGCCGCCAAACTCCGGGAGCGCAACTACCAGCACCAGTGCCGAACCGCCGCGACAAATGCGTGCGGGACTCGGGACAGCGCCGGGCGGCGACGGGTGCCATGTCGGCGCCGGCGGGCGGCTATCGCAGCTCCGAGCCACCGACCACACACAGACAGACACAAAGAAGTCGGCTCGGACCCGTGACAGTCAGGCGAGAGTGGGTTCTCCGACCATGTCACGTCGTCATGGTCACGAACCGCCATAGCGGCCGTATTGTTATTTTGATTCTGCTTGAAAATAGGGGGAATATTTTGATTCTTTTGATAAATAGGTACAATTGCATCTAATTTTCGACCGCTGTAAGATTCATTTTATCGAGAAATGATCCTATATGTAAACTACCCAATATTTTTCTTCTTTTGGTTCACATGTCACTTGACGACGGCATTACGGAAGTATCACATCAGCCGCTTACTTCAAAACAAAAGGTAATAATAGCCGGCATCTTCACCATATTTTCTTTGGGTTGCAATTTTAATTGTTCATCACGAATGAGCAACGTGGGCGTAACAGAAATATGAAGCTACGTTGTTGAGCAAATTCGAGCGATCCAGTAGGGTCCAAAACCCAGAGCCGAATCCTTCCATTATAGTCCCTCGACATTTAACTGTTTGATACATTAACCCGCGCCCTGCTCACATTGCCCCAAACAGACGGTAAATAACTTTTGAAAATACCAATTTCCAATTTTGATGTTTTCTGGACCAAAATTATGCGATGAATCCGATGGTGTGGTCCCCGAAATCTGAAAAATTTCCATTTTGGAGATAGCACCTATTTTTTGAAAAATAAATATTCGTCAGGCTTAATAGTCAAATAAATTGGAAATATAATGAGTTAATTTTTGTAACAACACTAGAATCTGTCGAGCATGAATTAGAGATATATTTTAGCTGAGATGATACTATATCTGCGCATACATGTACATGAACTAGTACATTAACCCTCGTCGGCCGAGAAGGGGTGGGGCGGGTGCCGCCTAATAGGGCTTTTCGCGATAGCTTAAAACTCGCTTAGGGTAGACAGCTGAAACTTGGCATACCTAATCTTTTATTCAAGCTGGATCTTTTGACCTCAACTGCGTTTTCAGGTCAGGTCAGGTCACTGACCTATGACGTCATAAATGAGCCTTTGCGAGGCCCTCAGATGTTGCAACTTTGCAACGCCCTCAGTGCCAGAGGAACTTTCACAGGAAGATAAAACTTACAGGACGTAGTATCCTTCAGAGGTCTTACAACTTGTATATCTCGGATTTAACCTAAATGTCACATGAGGTCAGGTCGGTCATGTGACCTCACCACTATAAGTCAATGGGGGAACTATGAAAACTGTTATTTTGGCGCCGGAAATGATCTAAAACTATCCCAAGCACATGAAATCGTGGTTTCATGATCGGACCTTACAAAGAGTACATGAAACCACGATTTCATGTGCTTGGGACAGTTTTAGATCATTTCCGGCGCCAAAATAACAGTTTTCATAGTTCCCCCATTGACTCATAATGGTGAGGTCACGTGACCGACCTGACCTCATGTGACATTTAGGTTAAATCCGAGATATACAAGTTGTGAGACCTCTGAAGGATACTACGTCCTGTAAGTTTCATCTTCCTGTGAAAGTTCCTCTGGCACTGAGGGCGTTGCAAAGTTGCAACATCTGAGGACCTCGCAGAGGCTCATTTATGACGTCATAGGTCAGTGACCTGACCTGACCTGAAAACGCAGTTGAGGTCAAAAGATCCAGCTTGAATAAAAGATTAGGTATGCCAAGTTTCAGCTGTCTACCCCAAGCGAGTTTTAAGCTATCGCGAAAAGCCCTATTAGGCGGCACCCGCCCCACCCCTTCTCGGCCGGCGAGGGTTAACCCGCGCCCCGTAGGGGGGGGGCCGAAACGGCCCCCCCCTGTCCTTTTCGGTCGATATCTCCTAAACGGCTGGAGATATCGCCACCAAACTTTCAGGACCCCTCCGGGCATCAATTTTACACATTGTGACCAAAAATTTTTCCAGAGGCTATGATAGGTTGGCCACAAATGACGTCAGAGTGACGTCATGTTCTGTCATTTTCGACCGAAAAAAGACCTTCGCGAGAAGACCTGTCAGGACTACAGCTTTGAAGATACAGAAAAATGATCAAGACATAAAAGGTGTAGAATTGACAGGGCTACAAAACTGCTATCTCGAATTTTTGAAATTTTTGAGTTTTGACCCCCAAAAATCAAAAAAGCATTTTTTTGGATATATTCGCCAAAAAATCCAAAAAGTTTTTTGAGTTTCGAAAAAACCGGAATATATGTGATAGTGCCTACCGTCTTCTATCTACATACCAAATTTCAGATCGATACCTCGTTTTTTGGCCAAGTTATAGCGAAAAAAACTGTTCAAAAATGATGACGTCAAATTTTCAAACTCAATTTTTGGCAATTCTAGAACTCGTAGAGCAAAACGAAGACCACCATTAGACTCCCCGTGACGAGCTGCATCGAATCGATACCCATTTTATGCAAAAATATCAACTTTGAAATTTGACCTAATTTGACCTGACCTTGACCTGACCTTCACAAAAACGTGACCTAGGCTGGCCCCAAAGGCTGCCTAACCCACATAATCGCATTTGTCATGTAAAATGGACCATAAAACATGTATCACACGACACATTCATATTGTGACCCCCGGTGACCTGACCTCGCTGTGACCTGACCTGGTATCAGTGACCTCAGATAGCAAAGTATGTGTTTGACGAACAATGTACCATCGATGGTTTTCAATAAATTACCAATTTACTCGCTTTCACAGCACATTTCTTGAATTGCCTGTGAACGGTGAAAATCTGACCTTTGACCTGACCTGTGACGTCATCGGTTTGACCTAGGTCAATGAAATTTGGTCACAGGGTAGTTCCCGGGTGGGGCTATCGAACGCCGTTTGAATTTTGAAAATCGGCCGGTAACTTTCCGAGATCTTAGGGGGGGGGGCCGATACGGCCCCCCCCCCTACGGGTGGTAGGGTCCGCCGGTAGCCCTACGGGGCGCGGGTTAATGTACTAGTTCATGTACATGTATGCGCAGATATAGTATCATCTCAGCTAAAATATATCTCTAATTCATGTTCGACACATTCCAGTGTTGTTACAAAAATTAACTCATTATATTTCCAATTTATTTGACTATTAAGCCTGACGAATATTTATTTTTCAAAAAATAGGTGCTATCTCCAAAATGGAAATTTTTCATATTTCGGGGACCACACCATCGGATTCCTCGCAAAATTTTGGTCCAGAAAACACTAAAATTGGAAATTGGTATTTTCAAAAGTTATTTACCGTCTGTTGGGGCAATGTGTGCTGGGGGGGGGGGGGGGTGTTTGAACACCCCCCCCCCTTGTGGTTTTTCGCGAATATCTCAAAAACGGCGCGCCGTTTTTGGTACACCTTATCATACATCAATTCTACACATGTTGTGAAAATTTCAGACCAAGGTCATTCAAGGTCAGGTCACCAGGTCACTTGAAGTGACCTCACCTCATAAAAAGTTTCAATGTCTTTCATAGCTACACCGAGTGACCGATCGCTTTGAAACTTTCAGCGATTACTAAGAGCAACAGCATGTACAAAATGTATATCTCAGAATTTTGATATCGATGACCTAAGGTCAGGTCAATTTTGCGACCCCCCCCCCCCCCAATCCCCATTATAAGTCAATGGGAGAAAATTGAAATGCGCCTCTTTTGGAAGAAAGACATTATAAACACTCCCAAACACTGCATTACAAGTGGTTTAGACACACTGAACATGAAAATGGTGTCCGTGACCCCTGTTTATGCCCTGAGGTCATCTTAGGTCACGAATGGTATCTAACAGTTTTTCGCAAATAACTTTTGATAGTGGCATGCTAGAGCGATGAAAACGCCTTAGATGTGTTCAGCTCGACGATACGGATCGACTGATATGCAACATGACCCTTTCCGGTCAGGTCATGACCTTGACCTGAGGTCAAATTTTCAAGTTGACCTTTCAAGGTCAAGTTATAGTTCATTCGATGCGTCTTGACGAGAGGAACACGATGCCGGTAAAAGTAAGCTCGTACAAGGCTTGGGTCAAAAGTTATTGCAGAAAAACTGTTTCCGAAAAAATCGGCTATTTTTGCAGTTTTTGCCCCCTGCAGGCAAAACCGTTGACGTTAGGTCAAATCTGAGGAAATTACTCAGAAAGGGCGTTAATAGGGCTATCGAATGCGCTTTTCCGCGGCGCCGTAGCTCTATTGGTTCCCGAGTTATGCGTTGGCTTCTTGGAATTTGTCGACATTCGACCTGGAAATCGGCGAAATTTTGCCTTCAATGACCTCTGGTGACCTGACCTTTGACCTGACCAAAAAATTGACCGAAGTGATTTCCTCATTATTTTTAACGCTCTTTCGAACGCCGCCTTCCGCGTATCGCTACGTGGCCCAGGAGCCGAGTTAGAAGGGGGGGGGGTGTTCAAACACCCCCCCCCCCAGCAGGGCGTGGAAATCCAGGACCCCCAGCCGGGCGCGGGTTAAGGACATTGATGCGCTATTAGAAGCTAAGCATGTGAAGTGTGACTTATGAAGGGATCCTGTCGTTACAATTTCGATATACCTATTCATACTGTAATACTGTGAATGAGGCCCACGACGACTTCCGCCTACAGAGACGCTAATAAGGTAAATGAAAAGTGCGGCCCGAGCCGAACCTTACAGGATAGCAACATCAATTTCGGTTTGATATAGCGCTCATACAGCAAATTAAGAATTTCATTCCGATTAAAAAAAAAAAACCGGAATCGATGCAGATACTCGTGTGGAGTGTAGTCATGGCAGGTCAGGAATCTTACATTAAAACTGGATCAGAACCACTGTTAGCGACACACTATGACATACGTTAAACTATAAGGCTCAGCAGTATACCTAATATCAACGGCATGCGTCAAACCTGCCTCAGCACAGAGCCAGTTGATATGCCAAGCACCACCTCCGCCAACCCCCAACAGCGCGTTTCGAATTGGCACCGCCAGCAGCAGTCATCCCAATGACATACGGACAGCCAAACGCTGCTGACGGCTCCCATGACATTCTTGATGACAGGTAGGTTCGTGGTACGGTCCGTTAATGCAAAGCCGCAAGTGACAACCGACAGGCCTGCATAGTGTATACTGTATAGGTGAGCCCTTTTCTATAAAACCGAACCGTTGTAAATATGTCGAAGCATTGTGAATTGAGACCATTTATTGACAATGGCCTCAGATCAGACCATACCAGTAGCTTGTTCTATTCTTTTATCAGTACTTTTTATTCTACCGTAAAGTGGGGCTATTTGAGACAGTGGGGCTATTTGAGACAGTTTTTGAAATCGCTATAAAATGAAGAGCCTTTGATTTTTATGTGATATTTTTGCTCAGGAAGGTTTGGAATCGAGCAGTAAATCGCCTTAGCAAAGATTAAGCATAAATTTCAAACGGTTTTTATATTTTATAACAATTTTAAATACTGTCTCAAATAGCCCCACTGTCTCAAATAGCCCCACCTTACGGTACTTATTTTTGAAATGTGGAAAACCCAGAGCACATTTAAAGGACGCGTCGCGGTTGGTTTCTATTGTGAAGTGATGAAAACAATATTCAATAGTGATGAAAAGTACTTGTGCCTCTCGTATCACCAGGTCTGATAAAGCGCACCGGCGTCGGCAACCACAAGACGCTAGCGGACGCTCCTCAATTTACCTACTTCCCAACGTGGCTAAGACACTCTAGCGCCAGGGATTCGCTAAATATGCAGTCTTGAGTCTGCACGAGGTACCATGCAGTCTAAATTTTAGTTGCACAATACACAGCCCTAGTCGATACCACCCATTCGGCAGTACTGAGGCAATCAGAAAACATCCGACGGGGAAACCGTGATCCCCTGTGACAATGATGTCGCATCAGAAGTGGCTCTGCCAGTGAAATAGAAGATAAGCAGACTATGTTTGACTGAAGGGCTGTGCGGAAAATACGGTCTGAAAAAGCTGGCGATGTTAGCGCACCAGCAGGTGAAGTGCGCAGATTCATGGGCGGTTCGGAGTGCCATTTGCAGGAGAGTCCCTACTTCTTTTCAGTTTAGGTATTTCCCGAGTTGGTGGTTTGTATTGTCTACGGGAGATGCCTAATGATGGGAGTTGTCAAAAAACGAATAAATTCTGTAACAGCCGACGACAGACGAGCAGCCGCTCAGCGTGCCCTTCGATAGAAAATGCCGGAGTCTGGATAGCATAAGTCATCATTCCATAATAAAAAAGCACGAAATGTCTTGGCCACCTGGCAGAGAGTCATCATCCATCTGCCACTCCCACCAGCTGCCGCGCGGCAGTGCGGGTACTCACAGTGTCACGCCGCGCGCCATCAGGTGCGACTCCTGCAGCAGCCGGCAGCAGCGCAGGCCGGCCCGTTTCAGCTCGCCGGCCGCGCGACAGAACTCGTCGACTCGGCGCTGGCCGTCCGCCACCCGGAGCCGGGCGACCGCAGCGCCACCTACACAGAGCAGCAGCGCCGCCGCCAGGGGGAGCCACCAGGCCGGCAGCCAGACGTCGACCGCCAGAACGGCCAGGAAGACAGACAGCAGAAACGAGCTGGAACAGCGAGAAACGCCACTGATAAACAAGTACTACATCCTTAAACATCCATTGAATATGGACAAAGGATTCGATATACTCATGCTCATGATACAACATCATGGCATATTACGTTTAGCATAAAATTTACCGCCTATTTTCAGCTGTTTGGCAGGCTACACATATAGGTTGGTTTCCAACTTTCCACCCCATCCCGCGCTGCTGCCTGACTCCTTACTCTGTCATGGTGGCGGTGCCCGGCTGGCGGCTCTGGTCGGAGCACAGGTCGGCGGCCATGGCTCGGTCCCGATCGGCCATCAGACCGCTGTCCAGCAGGGCGGAGAGTGCGGCGGGCACCAGCCGCGGGCCGGGCCGCACACCGAGCCAGTCGGCCACGGCGGTCAGCTGCTCCCTCACACCGGCCACCTGCCGACACACCGCACAGTACCGACAGCACACCTTAGGCTGGGATACAATTACTGGCGGTAACACCCAAGCGAAATTTTTCAAACTCTGGATTTACAAGAGGTGGGACACATCACTTGTGTTACGTTCTGATCCTAAGGGTGCCTTCGATCTGAGATAGATTTATCATCTCTAAATGGAAGCTGGATTGCTCGTTATTTCATTGAATTAGCATAGAGACATACGTTAAATATTTGGAAGTAGTCTAGATAGGCCTCCAATTCAAAAGACAAGCTGCCCGAATTTCTGCTGTTTGTGCAAACAGCTCAGAGACTGGGTGACTTACCTTCTGTTGTGTCTGCACAGACACCTCGGTTGATTGAATGACAGCCTGCTGCAGGCAGGAGGCTGACTCAAAGTCACTGAACCCACTGGATACAAGATGCTCATACAGAGCCGTGTTCTGAAACATGCCATGGGAGGCACCATTGAATTCGTCAATCAGATGTTTGGGTTTGATGCCTATTGTCTTCAGCTCAATGCCTAGCTTAGACATTGGGGCACCAGGAATTTGAACTGCACAAAACATTAGCAACCTTCATTTTTTTCTTCTTTGTCCTAGCTCACTCTTTTCCCCTAGCTCACTCTTTTCCCTTTTAGTCTCTTTCTGGATTAAAACTGCATCATCATAGGTGTAGATTTCGTGACTGAGCTGGGGGTGCCCGAGCTCAGTAAATTGCCACCGCCCTAGTGGTGACCTTGACTCCCGCCGTCTGTTGCGGCTCCAAAGCAAAGCAGGAGTGGAATTGGGAGAGCTCGGGCACCCACAACTTTACATAAATCAGTGCCCAATGCGTAGCATTATGATGACCATTTGCAGTTGGAGTTTACTTTCATTGCAACCTGAACTGCAAGGCATTAGCTCTCAACTCTCAAGTGAGACTGCTAAACAAAAGTTAAAAATACCTTGACCTACCTTCAAATATCTGGTTAGTTGTCATAAACTGTCATACTAAAACTTACACTGAAAACCACCTCATCATCTTCTAGTTCATCCATGGCCCCTGATTCTGCTCGTTTGGTCTGCAAGAAAAGAAAAGACCAATGTTGACGTGATCATATGATCAACATGAAAAATGTCACTTGATGATGTTGTTGAAGAGCTAGGGTGTGCAGCAGCTTGGCTCAAGCGTCCAACAAGATGAGTAGTCACGTATGGGAACATATACAAAACCCAATTAAACCAAATGTGGCAAATTAAGCCTTAACTATGGCCTTGCCTAAACCTATTACCATTGCACAACAAGTATATGTAGAACCATTACACTATACTACCCAAGGGCCAAGGCTATATTGATATAGATACTGAATCAAAATAAATACTACCACAGTGTATATAAATATAGATAATTTCTTACCTTCAATGCCTTCAATCTTTTGAATGTCACTTATGCGCAGTATATGAAGAAAACAACATTCCTTTCATTTTTTGTTCGCAAATTTAAATGCTGCTAGCACGAACAAGAGCTCAAGGAAGGAAACGTTATTCATTGGCTTAAAATGCAGTTGCCATGGAAATTCTGAAGAGCGCTAGCAGAGCGGCCCGATGTGAATAAGCTTTTGTGAAGATATCAATCTCATCTGATAGATCATATCAATCAGATATGATCTACGTTGCTACGTGCGATACACGCGAGAGCGAGAGACGAGAGAGAAAGGTAATGTATTTGCTTTTACTAGGTATTTTATTTGATACAGCCCAAATACAGGCTATGGATGCCGCGGTTGTACTTATGTTTTTGTTGATGCGTTGTAGAGCATTTATCACCGTCGACCACACAATATCCTGATTCCTGTATTGGTATTGGTGTTACAGGGAGTATGCGATTTCAGTTAGTTTGCAACGACCCTAGGGTGGTTGTAACCTCCCTGAACGATCAGTTTGTTTGCAACGACCCTAGGGACGTTACAAAATAACTGCTCGTTCCGGGACGTTGTAACGAAACTAGGGTCGTTGCAATCTCCCTAGTTAGTATGCAACGAACCTAGGGTTGTTACAAAATAACTAGGGAGTTTAAGAATTCATCGAGTCTCGTTTCACAGGAGGGCCGTCAACAATCTTAACCAATGAAAATCTTGTTCAATCTAATCTAGTTCAGTTTAAAAGAAAAGGAGAACAAAATTTGAACATTCAGCTCAGGAGTATTTCACGACGGCCGTCTAGTGCACATTTTAGGCAGATTAGGTGCACATTTGGTGCAGTTTTGTGCAAATTAGATGGACATTTGCCAGGAAGCCCTTCGTAAAAACGGCCATTATCCGCTCCTTTCCAGACTTTTTGTGATTATAAACGTTCAAACATGTGAAATGATGGTGGTCCCATGCATTATGGTGGGTGTCAAGGTCACGTGAAGGTCAGGTCAATGTCATTGACCTTTGATGACCTTAGCTAACTTTTTCTGGGTTCATATATTTTTAGGCTAGTTTTTGGAGCTGATTTTGAATTTAGCACCCATTTGAACATTAACGAAGTAATTTTGGCGCCTTCGTACCATGTCACGAAGCTGCCAGTGATGGTTGACACCTACTATGGACAGCTAGCAAGACGCCTACTGGTTGACCTGACTTGACCTGACCCAACCTGGCCTAAAAATATCTAGACATCATCGGTGATCAAAGCTAATATGAAATTCGTGATCAGCGCCCCGAAAAAAGAAACTCGTAACAACCTAACTCTCCAAAGTTTTAACAGGCCCCGATTTTCCCGACTTTTGAGTCACTGACCTGACCTGGAAGGTCAACCCATAACCTATCCCCGCTCTGGGCGTTTGCGGCTAGCAAAACACCAATAAGGGCGAGAGTTAACACCGCAGGACCTGTTGGTTTTCTACATACGCGCCGGCCGAGGGGAGGGTTGGTACGACCCTCTCGTCGTTTTTAACCCCTGATGGAGTTAGAGCGTCGCGGAAAAAACGAGCGTGTGTGCCGTTAGGAGACACAGCAACAAGTACCCGAGTTTAAGGTCTCAGGTCAACCGGTGACCTCTGAGGTCAGGTCAGGTGACCCAAGACACGGGTTCGGTTTTTGATTAATAACTTCTTAAAAAACAGTCGCTGAGCGCGATTTTAGCATCAACGTGCTCGCCTTGCTTACGCACATCGAATGGTATGCTTTTTGTTCGGGTGAGGTCAACTTGAGGCGTTGACCTCGGGTCAAGGTCAGGTCAAAGACCCCTAGGTCGCGAAATTGGTCAAAGGAGGTCATGTTGCATATTATTCGATTCGGCAGGTCTTCCTGTGTCCATCGGTGGCTTAACCGTCTCGCTAGCTCAGTTTGATCGGGAGTTATTGACGAAAAGCTCGTATGACCCTAGTGACGTCATAAATGACGTCATGGAACGTCAACAATGCAAAATTGAAGCATCTTACCTTGCAAGGAGTGCATTAAATCACGATCCGTGTGCTTGAGATAGTTTGAGATCGTTCCCGGTGCCAGAATAGCAGTTTTCATTTTTCTCAATGGACTTTTAGTGGTGAGGTCACGTGACCGACCTGACCTCATGTGATCTTTAGGAAAAATCCTAGAGGTACAAGTTGTGAGACTTCTAGAAGATGCACGTACTGTAAGCTTCATCACCCTGTAAAAACTCCTCATGGGACTGAGGGCGTTGCGAAGTTGCGGATCTGAGGACCGTCCACTTATGACGTCATAGGTCAGTAACCTGACCTGACCTGAAAATCTGGTTGATATCACGAGATCCGGCTTGAATCAAAGGTCAGGTATGCGTAGTTTCAGCTCTCTGTTGCTGGCGTGTTCGGAGCTATCGCGAAAAAAAAACTTGGGGGGGGGGGCGAGGATAAAGCCAGGCTGGGTTGGGTAAGTTTGGGTCAAGTACTCGTAGTAGGCGTCCCACCCGCACCACCTGTTTATAGCAGTTGTACCTAAACCACCAGCGACAGCTTTGTAGCAAGTTGCATTGGCGTTACAACTACACCTACGTACTTCTCAAATGTCTCAACGAATGCTGGATTCAAAATAAGCTAAAAAAAACCCTTAAAATCGTAAAATTTGAAACAGTCACCCGAAGTCACCAAACGTCAATGACCTTGACCTGGCCGACAACTGACAATTCAACTTGAAACACATCATGATGCATGGGACAACCATCAGTTCACATGTTGGCACGTTTATATGTAATCACAATAGAAGTCTGGAAACGCAATTTTATGTGCGCTAACATAAATGGCAAATCATTTCGGTCTGCCATGGTCTCAGAAATCAGATCAAAGATCAAAGGCCATTGGTTTCAGGATCATGAACTCGTAGATAAGTTCGAGGACACTCAAAGTTTCGTCACGATCGGCCGCTTCTAGCGCGAGATAATCGCGAAATAAAACGAGGGGTTTTATCCGACCCACACCCCTAAAAGTGTGAGGGATAACCCGCACACGGATAGCGACGGATATCCATCACACCTACCCCAGTAACTATATTTTCTACATGTAAGCATATGCTGGCGATATAATGCAGCCAAAATTATCACAGTCACGTGCTTTGTCCCGGGCACCACATATTATACTCCTTGGCTGAATGTTCAAATTTTGTCCTCCTTTTCTTTTAAACTGAACTATGTAGATTGAACAAGATTTTCATTGGTCAAGATTGTTGACGGCCCTCCTGTGAAACGAAACTCGATGAATTCTTAAACTCCCTAGTTATTTTGTAACAACCCTAGGTTCGTTGCATACTAACTAGGGAGGTTGCAACGACCCTAGTTTCGTTACAACGTCCCGGAACGAGCAGTTATTTTGTAACGTCCCTAGGGTCGTTGCAAACAAACTGATCGTTCAGGGAGGTTACAACCACCCTAGGGTCGTTGCAAACTAACTGAAATCGCATACTCCCTGTAACATTGGTATCGATTACAATTTTCAAATTACTCCTACTAGTCCTACTGGTAACTGAACTGATGAGAGTGGTAGGTAAGCTTTAAATTTGGCTTTAATCATAATTGGATACTATAGGCAGATAATTATATTCCTTACTTTATATTGTCAAAAAATGTGTTTTAAACCCAGGCCGCAAAGCATTGCATTCTTGACAGATCAAGATCAAGATCTGGTTGGTGTGGACTGTGTAGGCCTTCAGCCAGTGTGTGGTGCGGTTTGGATTGCAATTGCGGATTTATCTGAGTGTTAGGGACTAGGGTACAGCTTCCAACAGTCATCATGTTCCCATGCAGACCTGCTGTGCTTTTGCATAATTGTCAAAACAATATGTATAACAGACACAATGGGCCCAGATAGTGCCATTTATTGCATTTTTTTTCATTGAAAAGTGTAGCTATTTTATCTAATGGGTAAAAATTTGATTCTTTCTTGGTCTGGCCTAGTGCTAATTTAGATTTTCAGTCTGGTTTGTGTAGGCTGGTGGTGGTGCAGATATTTTGCCTAGGCTGTTGCAGGCTGCATACTGTATTGGTATTGCCATGGCTTGTATGTATGTATTTACGATCATGGGCGATCCACACATGGCGTGGCGATTACTGCCCACCTGCTTGTACCTACTCTGGCTTGAAACTATAGAGAATCCAGGTATTTTGATCATTGATTATAGCATAGGCAGGCAGAGGCGCCAATGCTCAAACTCAGCAATGACTTTCAATTACTTATCTCATCTAGCCTTTTCTGACATGTAGACTGTAGTTACATATAGTTAGTGTCAGCAACTCCAGGTGACAGGTGTAGCAGTGTGGAAATAAAGTCCTGTTATTGGTCCATTTATGTAACTACCACTCCAGTTTATCATTCCCGTGATCTGTGATCTCATCTTTTGCATTGTGTAGGTCCTATGCACGCACAACACCTATTTTGACCGTTGCCTCCTTCCGTACTGCAGCTGACTGCCATCTGGCGACCAGCCGGTGAACTACTGTGAAGGTCACTGGTGCCGGTGCGTCCAGCCAGAGACGGTCGGAGCGTCACGGCTGGTGGACGGACGGGCGCGCCCACCTCTGAGCTCGCCCTCGGACGTCCGTGCTGGCCGCTGACCAGTCAGCGCAGTGGCGTGACGAGTCGCGCGGGGACAGTGAACGAGCGGTCCCTGTCATTGTGAGACGAGAGCGAGACAGTGTGAAACGGAGAGTGAGACAGTGAGATGGGCGACGAGCTGCTGCTGCGCTCGCACTGTCCGGGCGGCGCCGGCTGCTTCTGCGCGGGCGCTGAGCACGTGTACGTGCGCGAGAGGACCGTGACGCCGCCTCGCACCGGCCTACGCAGGTGAGTGTCCCTACCAGACTACTGGAGCGTAGGGCTGCGCTCCCTCGACCGACTGATTGATTGCGTTGCGTGAGAGCCCGGAAATAACCTGACTCGACGGAGACTGCGCGACTATTTACTAGCACTGACGAACACGACTTGCCGAGGGTTGTGCCCAACGAGTCAGCTTCTGGTCAATTGATATGCAAAATGAAAATTACGGACCCGTATAAGA